TCAAGAGTTAAATTTATATCACGGTTACCGACAACATGGTCAATCCATTTAATCTGTCCTGTGTAAATAATTATTTTTCAGTTTAAAATATAATGGAGTATAATTTGGAATATCCCATATCTTATAATAATTATTATTAAATAATAACTTCGGCGTCAGACGACGGTCTTCTCGCCGTAGGTTACTCGATTGTGACGGTAACACTGAAATTCCCTTAATTTAATTTTGTATTTATTTTTATTAGTACTATTAATTTTTTTTTTAAATTGTCATCATTTTTATTATACATTTTTACGTAATTACGTCAACTGAAAAAATACTAGGGGGGGGTTGAACACCCCCCCCCCCCGTGGGTACGCCACTGCGTTAATCACCATATGACGATCAGAATGCCCATTTTATAGTTGTTCATATGCTGTGAATACACAATATGTCTTATTAATGCGTGATTATCGATATTATGTGTATGTGCTGAGGGTGACTGTTAAAATATGTTTCAAAGAGTGAGGTTTGATGACTGAGTGGTCGTCAAGGTCACGACCAACGACCCCTTAACCATACCGTCCATTACTCCCGCATACCTACCGCACCCACGCTGATGTGACTCTCGTGACTCATACTGATTAGTTTATATTAAGTATACAATATACATGTATAATGTATACTGACGATTCGGGGATTTTGAAAGTGAGAGAGTGATTCAAAATCATATTAATTACGAATGTGTAATTGTGTATACAGTTGAAATTTTACTAAAATTATAAAGTTTAATGATTATTACTCTGATTTTATGAAACAAAAAATGTGTTGTATTTGGTTAAACCAATTATATTTCATATCATATACTTATTAATAATTGAATTATTATTATTAATATTGAGGTTACTAATTTGCGTATATATACAATTGCGTGGATAGGAATTTCCATGGAGTGGGGGTGGGATGTATTCATTATTTTTTAGAAAAATCACATGGTAGTGCCCCTCGCACAAATATTATATGTATAAAAAAGGTCATGGATCGATCCATGCCCCATATCCGCCCACGAAATTGAGAATAAACAGTTACTAATACCACAGATTAAATAAAATATTTTATTTAATCTATGCTAATACAAACGGCAGACCATAGGGCATAAGCGTAATTTCAATTTTTTTCTGGGGGTGGCTTAAACAATTTACATCGAACAGATCTGTAGTGCGATGCACCGAATCCCGGAAAAAAAAACCACGGAAAAAAAACCAAAATAAAAAAACCAACGGAAAAAAAACCAAAAGAAAAAAAAACCAAAGTGATAATAATATAATCAGAGAATTAGTTTAATCACAAAATATAATAATATACAATCTATTGCTGTGTTATCAATATTATAACGAATAAAATTTATATACAAATTAATTATACATTCAAATATTATATAATTAATTATATTATATTTATTTTATCCAATTTTCAAAGCTGAGCAAGTTAGTTACACTTACCCAACTTTACAAGTATCAATTTTATGAGTGATATATCGACTTTAATATAATAATAGAGATAATAATAATACAAAACACTATGTATGCTATTACATACATTTTAGTTTGAGAAATTCCCTGTAGATCATAGACCTATTACTCTATGCTGTAGATATACTATTGGTTTCGAAAACTAAAAATAACTCAACAATATAATCAGACAAGTCTGACAAGTGACAAGTTAATCTGTCAAGATTTATAGTTGAAATTGAGGGAATATGAAGATCATATAAAAATACACTATGGATCATTGTGCTGACTGTGACTTTACTGTATTGTGTTATTGTGTCTTGTGTCTTGCAAATTGTTTTTTTTTAAGTTCAGGATTTAATATTTTAAAATATGGAAATTATTAAATCAAATAAGGGTGCAGATAAGCTATGTCACAAAGGTTATATGTATACCTTAAAATATGCCGGAAAACAATATTATACATGGAGATGTACAAATTGATGTACAATATAGATTATATTATCATTTTGGTTTTTTTTTCGTTTGGTTTTTTTTCCGTTGGTTTTTTTATTTTGGTTTTTTTTTCCGTATACCAATGCACCACACCTCTTTATAGTTTATCTTAAATAATTTTTTACATCTTACAAGATATTTACTCTACGTTTTATTGATACATTTTTTTTTATCTAAAGAAATTGTACAATCTGTAAAATAATCTTTTATAATAAGAACAAGTGATTTGAGAATTGTATAGAAGATAAAATAACAAACAATTATTGATACATTGACATTATAACTCAGGTCTATTTAGAGAGGGGATTTTGTCACCCCACACATCCGCTACTCATCTATGTATAACAAAATAAATTGCAAAATATAACACCAAAAAGAAAGAATAAGGAAATTGTGCTAGTTAAAATCAAAAATAAAATAACCACCAATGAATGAAACCAAAAATTAATAATATTTGTTAGGTCTAGGTACAGATTACGTTATACTAAGAGGATCGTGTTATGGAGGATTCCAGAGCACTACGGCGTATTTTGTTTTCTGCCTGACTCGCGCGCAACATGCCACATGGAAAGTTTGCGTCACCTTAAGCAATCTTGTATTATTTTTTATAATAACTTATAACATTAGAGTGAACCTTTTAGTCCTTAGATCATTTTATACAATGGATAAAGCTATAAGAAATAATACACGTAGCAAACATGAGGGGGCATTTCATGTCTGCACATGTGCAAAATATAGATTGGCAATTGGCATCAGTCATCGGTTTCATCAAAATCATAAATACAAGTACCTATCAAGAAGACAACAATATTCTAACCTTCATGGTAGTTACATAATAATAATATATCTGTGATAGTATAATACATGATAAATTCAATTTATTAAATTTATCTTGATATTATAGTAGATATTGCCAAAAAAAGGAGGACGCATGCGCAGTAGTTATACGCCCTCTTGATAATTATGTTGGCGACATATTCGTAACCATGACAAAATGCATAGGTACATAATATAATAGGTATATAATATATATTTTGTCATAAAGTCGTAACCAGTAACCACGGATTTTTGCTATCTTTAATCGTGTTCGTAACACGTGAGGTCTTAGATCATATACATGTACGTATATGATCTAAGCGTGAGGTACTGCCGTGTAATTATCAATTATAATCCATATCATCCCTGGCTCTTTCCTCCATATTTATTGAACATTTTTCTTTGATATAATGAATAACGATAAATTATAATTTAAAAATGTGATGTTTTACGAAAGCCATATTTGTATGCACTCATAACCCCGAACACGGTCCTTTGAAAGGTATTTTTTATATAAACTTGAAGATCGTACATCAGCCAACATATGGACAAAGCTCACTGCTGATATTATGAACTTAGTTAAGTTCACTGATTCACTCTTAAATACTTAAGTTTAAACACCTAAAAACACAAGATTTATTTTGCTGAGCACTCACATAAGTCTCACGCTCTCTCCTCTAGCCATCTCAATAGCCGAACGTCACTTTGTTGAATTTTCTTTTATTGAAATCGCCAAATAGCAAATAATAATAATAATATTTGTTTGGATGTGAATAGATAAAAATAAAACACAATTCAAAGTGATTATTTTTGAATAATACCTATAGTATGGGTGTGAGTTTTTTATTTTTATCATTTAGAAATTCAGTGCCATGAGTATGATTTATTAATAGGTATTTTTTAAGTTATAGGCAATTAAAGTCCTTGAAGTTTTAGTAAGCTTCTAAAACTTAGAACTATTCTAGTAATGTACCTATGTACCTACCTGGCTACCTAATAATTATTAATATTATATAACTGCAATAAATATCACTCAATTGATTTTGAGGAATTATACATAAAATAATAAACTACAATTGTGTATTTATTAATAGCAGATAGATATATAAGTAAATATTGTACCACAGGATAAATTAAATCTATTTTGAGATTATAACTTGTACTATAAAATAAACAAATCTATTGTATCATGCTCTATAGATAATATTATGGTGAGTATCATAAGCTGATAGAGTAGCACAACCAAAAATTTCTTGAGAGTGACTAATAGCAAATAAAATAAATTAATAATTAATTATCACTTAATAGTTTATACAAATACTCAAATATGGCTTAAGACATGAAAGGGGGGTCCAGACTAAAGATTTGTCACTGCCATATACCAATAGGCAAAAATCAACATAAAAAAAATACAAATACAAATACTTGATTCTAAATAGAAAATTAATTTTATTGAGTGAATATGTTCAAATATTTTATATTCAGCACTAAGTATAAGCTTGACAAAAGCCTCAGACCAAATTATGTTTTTGGTTATAGCTATAAACATTATAGTGCCAAAAATGTCTTCATTAAAATATGAATTAGTTAATCTGAATATTGTAGAATGAGTGTTTTTCTTTCATACAAATAAAATAAAATTTATAAATGTTAGGCCTAGTAAAATAAAATGTTATGTAAGGTGACTTTTAACCAATAATTATCATGAATCACATTACTTAATAATCTTGGTGAATGTTTTAGTCATTTATTTTATTTTTATTAAAAATGTACATTAAAAAATTATGTTTTATATTTGCAAGACGTGTGAGTGCATACATACAGGTAAAGTTACGTATTTGTAATACATAATTAGGAATTATTTAATGACTTATGAGTAATAATAATACAATATTTTCACAAAAAAAAAAAATCTAATTTTTAATTATTTTAATCATTTGCAGGGTAGTGCACAAAATTGGGATATTAGTGAGTGAACCACAGTTTGTAAAGTAAGTACGCAACCTACTCCATCACTAGATATCTTATCTACAAATGTATGCATATATTGAAATATAAATTAAATAAGTTCAATATTCATATACTTTCAGAAATAAATTATAGTTTTAAATATGAAATTAGAATAAGTATAATTTTTTAAAATCAATAGACAATTTATAATCAAAGAGTTATAAATAAAAAAATATAATTTGAGCCATATTAAAGAAGCATAAATAATTTCTTATTAATAATAATTGTGTATGCTTAACATTTAAACATTGACTAGAGTAAACAATACGTGTGAATTCAAGTATTTTATAATTAGTAATAACTTAGTTTATAAATAGGAATTAATCATGTGATGGACTTAATATAGGCTGGCAAGCTAAAAGCATTCTCTGCCGTGCTCTTTTGAAACTAGCCATTACATTGTTGACACTTTTAACAAGTGCTTGAGCAGATACAATGTCACTTGTATTAATATTATTATTGTTATTCTCAATGCTTTTACAATGCTGCATTACATTACTTAATGTAATATCCAGTGTACCTCTATGTTCTACTTCCATTCCAAATTTACTCAACAACTTTTCCTAAAATGTTTAAATGTATACAAATATATTATAAATAAAAGTCAAGTGAGCATTAAAATAATATTATGGAATATTATACTATAATTTACATTGAAATTGGTGGGTACACTTATATAACTAGGTTCAGCCAATTTTACTGTTCCACCAATGAAATATCTACGTAAGCTATCAACGCAATTTCTAGATTTTGGTAACCACGCTTCTAATTTAATATTGTTTTTATATGATGTTGGTGTAGAAAATTTCGGAATTTGATATGATGCATAACCTTCAACTCGTTCCTTGTTCCATGAATCAATTGAATAGATAATAAATGTTATAAATGCAGAGTGAATAAGTTGATCTAAAGTATAAAATAAATACAATACAAATCATATTCAATAATCTATAAATTTTACCTTTAAGCTGATCAATTGTTTTTGGTAATATTACTGTTACATTGAATAGATATGAAAATATAGATGTCATATTGTCATTTCGTCTACACGTATGAGTGGTTCCATTGAGTGAATTAGTATTTGCACATTTCCATCCTATTGTACATAATTTATGCAACTTATTTTCAGTTTTGAAGTGGATTGATAAAATATATTATTTTAGATATAAAAAAACTAAGTATAAAAATAGTTTATACGGTTTTATATTAATTATGTCAAGTGTTATTAATGAGTAGCTTCTTACTCCAAATATGCATGTAAACTACATTCTATCATCACATATACTTATTGTGCGAAAAAGTACAGATTGTGTACATTTTAATGTGAAATAAAAAATTATAACAGCCCTGTTTTGGAGTAAAATGTAATTTGTGAGTTAATGATTAAAATACAATTTTGCTGAGTTTGAAAATTTACCTGATGGAAGATCAATAAAATAACGAATAAATAAATTATCATATTCAAATCCACTAGCAGAAGTTATTTCAGCAAATATTTCAATAGTATCAGTCTCTGGTATATAAAAGTCATAATGATCGAATTTGAGTAGATTAAACTATAACAAAAAACAAATGTACATAATATTTTATTTATGCATTTCAAAATTAAGATTTAATAATAATTTACATTTACAGAATCTGTTATCAGTTCTAGACTTTCATTTGATAAATTTTCTATCCAAAATCGGTACTCAAAACATGAATCTTTCACTGTACTTATTGGAAGTATATAGCCTGAACAATTGTTAGTCGTAAAATTAGGAAATATTGTCAAAATATGATTGTTTGGATTCCAATACAATGATGCCAACACAAGATTATTTCCTTCATTTTCTGTACTAAAATAATTATAACAAATGAATAACTTTATAAATATGAAATATTAGTTAACAAGAATAAAATAATTAGGACATGAGATTAAGGGGATTCTGGAAGAGGTGGTTTTCTATCTTTTTCTAATACATGAGCAACATAGAAATTAAGACGCATTCTATTTTCAATAAACCATTTGATTTAGTAAGATTTACTTGAGATCGCCATTTCCATATTTTTGATGAAATCCTTCTAAATTTTAATAACTGTTTTACTTCTATTTAAAAAAAAGTTAAAATCAAAATTTAAAAAATGTAGGAGAGCCAATCTCGAGTCCGATCTTGCGATCAATTAAAATGCGTCTTAAAAGTTTACTAGATTAATTGTTATGTTGTATATTAGACAACAAGAAAAAATCATAGCTTCTTATCTCTTTAAGTGTTTTTTTTTACTATGTAACACGTAAATTATTCATTGAAAATTTGATATTATTCTTTATGTAATTAATATACCCATTTTGTCCAAGGTCAAGAAGAACATGCATTATTTGATTGAAATATGGTAATCTATTGTGCAATTTTGAAATGTCAGATGGTGAATTATCAATAATGTTTTTAGTAAAAAAATGTACATTTTTTTTATGGTCTTTCATTAAGCTCATTTTCTTAAATGATTCAGTGAGTGTACTGTCATGACCCATAATGTCATGCAGAATTGTACGACCATTCTAAAATATAAAATGTTTGCTTCATTAATTTTCATATAAAAAAATATTTGATTTGAAAAATTAAACCTTACATGTTGATGATTAAATTCGGTTTTTAAATGGCTATCTAAAAGTTTTCCTTCAATTGATGAAGATGTTTCTTCTAAATCATTTTGATCTTGTGGCTCATCTGAAGTTTTTTCCATCCAATGAAATACTTTTTCAATTCTTTTTGTGTACTTTTTTTCGATCTCAGTATTTTTATGGTGAAATGAAGTACGAGAAATTTCTAAGCATATTCTGAATATAAAATAAAATAATAACGTTAATAACATTCCAACCACTTGCAAAATCTAGTTCAAACAAAACTTAAATTAGATTTAGATTTTTGAAGTTAATTGCATAACATAATTAATCAAATATAACAATAATGAGGTGGACACTATTGAAAATATGATATTATACTATATTACCTGAAATGAAAATGCTCTATTGACCCTTCACATCTATAGCTACCTACATCATAATCTATATCATCTTTATTTGACATTTTTCTTTCAATTCAAATTTCAAATTCAAATCTTAAATAAATTGATTTTCTGAAATTTTAAATAAAATTTGAATAATGAATCGATTGTTCTGGTATTATCAAATTCAATATCAATATCTATTGACATCATGGTTGTAAGCTTTGAAATTTAAATTAAATTATTTAATACAATATTCATATTCTATCACAAGCCAACAATTCAGTACTCAAAAATCAGAATACACAATTGACAATTCATTGTTTTTAAATTTTGAAATTACATAATAACAATTTGGTAATTACAAAATTTGTTCTCTTTGATATCGAAAATCAAATAACAATAGGCATTAGGCAATGGTAAAGTCCATTATTATCTAATGATATTATTATAATTAATAACTTTTTTCCAAGTTTAAAACAGTGTACAGTAGCTACAACAATATTGCGCTTGTCAGTGAAGATAGTGAAGATTCTTCAGTTACAGTTCCGTTTTAAGATATACCTTGAATCGTGGTTTGGATCATATTATAGACAATATTCTTATTCTACGCTTTATTCCTTGATACTGTTACTACTTACTGTTCATAAAAATTGTATATTATGATCTCATCTATATGGGCTATCGAATCTAATCTGTGTTTACAACTTTAATTCAGGTACATGCATGTCATGGTAAACATGGCTAAATATATTTAGCCATGACGGTAACAATCTCACTATAATTTAGTTATTTTTTTCTTCCAGGTACTTTCGGGAAAATTACCACTACGGCCCAATCCCATTCGTATAAACATTTATGAGCTCTTTGATATAAACATTTTACAAGTTATTAACTTAAAGCGCATGCGCTATATTGTTTATTTCCATGTACTCAAAAGGACGCTTGGTCGCCGATCGTCCATCGTCCATGCTCCGCCATTTTGTTACTTATTATTTGTTATTGCATCGTGTGTGAGTTAATACCAAATTCCAATTTTTTTATTCTATTTGAGTTTGATAAATTTGAGTTATACTGTTCTTAATTTGTTTAACTATCCACCGACATTTTTAAAGGTTTGTTTTTACTATTTTATTGATTTATCTCTCTGAAATACATTTGTTTTTATATTTCCTTGCCATGTGTTTTATAACAGTTAGGTTTGGCATACTATCTGTATTTGTACTTCTATTTGGCATTTACTGTTTAGCTCTTATATTTCACATTAACACAAAACGTTTTCATAGTAAAATTTCTTATTCACTTTTTGACAGAGAAACGTTTTTACATAATATCTGTTCATCATTGACTTAGCGACTTAGCGGGTAGTTACATCTGAACACGTTAACTCTGTATTTACCTACCCTTTTAACTAAGATCGAAATACGAACTTGGTCAATGTGTAGAGATTTTGGTAAAACTGTACAGTACCTTAACGTAATATAATATTAATTGTAAGTATTTTACAAAATTTAATGCTTTAAAGTACTTTTCTGCTCGCTAATCGGTGATTATCTTAGGTACTTAACAAACATCAAATTACTGATCATTTTAATACAGACATGTTTATATTAAGTGGTTTGCCTATGCTTTGCTTTTATTTTCTAAAACATTTATTTACTTACTTATTGATAGCATTTAGCAATTACCAATAGTCTTAACAATCTGTTCGTTATTCATAAACCAATGGGTAATATACTATTTTATTTTATACAAATTCTAATTGTATTCAGTTGCAATACGGTTAAGTAGATCTTTCAGGGATTCTGATATTTTCATTTTATTTGATCAATTTTTCCAATACTAATGATAATGAATATATTATGTTTACTGCTCTTATTGTACAAATTAGCTAATTAATAGTTTATTAATTAAGTTACCTACCTATTTGCACATACTTAAAGTTAATAGTTCACATAACTATCCCAGTTAATCAGGAAAATAATGGACATTTTAATTATCCTTGAATTAGAACTTAATTCTATATAATGAATAAAATTTTTATTTTAGCCAGGTTTTCATATTACTTTTTTTGGGATCACCTTTTTTTAATAAAAAATGTTGACTAAATAGCTAGTGCCTAGTGGTAGGTATCCTTTTGATCACCATATTATTAGTTTTTGTGTCCTTAAAAATTAAGCTTAATTTCTCAAAAAGAATAAGTTTCATAGTAGGTCTATAATGTTTGATTTCCAACCTAATTTCAATATCTTATTTTCTATTATGCAGTTTCAAAATACCTACTTAATGACAAAAAAATGTGAAATATGTGTAAATAAATAACCGATGGTTATTGCGGATACATTTTTTGACCTTATTACTTAACAGAATGATATGTTGTTTATTTCATATTGTAATTTGGTTTCTGTCGCTTTACCTACTTTATTATGTACTCACTTTTAATGTAATAATTTAGTTACAACATAGTTATTCTTTTCTCTGCCAATTTTTAACTTCTTATTTGTCACGTATTTTAATATGTCACAAATATACATTATATTTCTCAAACCTTTGAATCCTAATGACGTCCGTCGGCGACACCACTAAACATTTTGACTAAATTAATTATGTAGATGATGGCTTTTGCTTTTGACAAGTTAAATTAAGAAACAGCTACTATTTTCTTTGTTAGTAATGTTACAATTTCTGTTTTTTTTATCTCTAGTATAGTTATTAAGAGAATAATTTCCAAAAATAGATAAGAATACTTCATTTTTAAACAGTCATGGAAGTTAAAGAAACTTATTATATATATTTATTTTTATACAATTTAATTTTCTATTATCTAGTACAGCGTTTCTTAAACTTTTGTATCCGTGGAACCCTTTTTTATGTGCTCTTTCACCGTGGACCCGCAACTTTTTTTAGCCTTTTTTTATTGAGCTCTTAACAATAAATTATTACTGCTCGACAATTAAAACCACTACATTGTTTCAATACTTTCAATGCGTCATTTTATGTAAGGAATATTTGCAATAAAAGTTTTAATTATGTGTCAAAATTTAAAATTTTGAATAAAAAACCACAAGTTTCGGGGAACCCTTGAGTGACCTCCGCGGAACCCAGTTTAAGACACAGTTCAAGAAACGCTGATCTATTACTATAATATGATTTAAGAATATATTCAAAGTTAAACACTGCAAGTGTATTGCAACACCTGCAAGTATATTATACATCTTTCATGTGATTGTACATATACAGTTATCAGTCGTAAGACTGGTTTCTTTTGTTTTTATAGAATAATGTTTTATATTATGACTGGATTAATGAAAATGAACGATAACTGTCTATGACATAACAGTCTAAAACAAGGCCTGACAAATATAATCACTGAAGTTCTAATCGATAATTTAAATTTTTTTATATAATTTGGAAACATGTTTAGTATAAATTTTTTTTTTATACTGAGATCAAACATTTTAGAACTGATAATTGAGAACTTGAATAATTCAAAAAGTTTTGTAAAATTTTTATTGTTGAAACATCAATTTACGTCATATAGTTCATTTTTAACAATTTTTTTTTATAATTTAATTTAATCTAGTCATGTTAACTGTTTCAAAATATTTTAAATACATTTTTGAATAAGTTCTTGTTAAAATCTAATTATTTTTTCAAATGTTTTGAAATTTAAAAAAAAAATCCGTCATATCTGTTTGTTTATAGTTTTTAATAAAAAAATAAATTTTTTTGTATATATTGAGTGCAAGTCAATTATATATAAAAAAATACTGATAGGAACAAAAGTAGTTTTATTCATCTGGTCTTTCTGTTACGCTCTGTATAATGAAGTATTTGGTCTCAAATTGGTTGCACCGTATGTGTGTATAATGTTATTAGTTTCCATTTGTTACCCTGTCATCTCTGTTAGTCTCATTCTTTAATACACCCCACAAGATTAATTTTATAATTACGATAGATTCATTTATTAGTGCTGTTTTATAATTTATGATGTTTATACGGTGGTTGTTATCAGGAGCTGGGTAAACCTATTCAGCTGTAGAAGTTGTATCTAAGCATTTGGTGACTTACACCTAAAGAGGTCAAAATGAGTAATGGCACTAGGGTGTTTGTCGGCGGCCTGTCTCATCGCGTTCGCGAGAGGGATCTCGAGAGGTTTTTCCAGAAAATTGGCAGAGTCAAGGATATTGCTATGAAGAATGGATATGCTTTTGTGGTAAGTGTACATTAAAAAATAAATTATTTTCAGCATGGGGAGTGGTTCAAGAATATATATTGGTCATTTGCCTTATGGCGTGCGAGAAAGAGATATAGAAAAGTTTTTCAAAGGATTTGGTCGTATTAAAGAAATATTACTTAAAAACGGATATGGATTTATTGTAAGTAATCTTGAGTGTTTTATGTATGTTCGATATTCAGTAATATATAACAATACAAAATAGGTAATTTACTAATTTTAAGTATCTTGTTAGTACCGTATCAATTTTTTTACATATTTTACTCATGCAAAATAATTTTATAGGAATTTGATGACTACCGTGATGCTGATGATGCTGTATATGAATTGAATGGTCGTGAATTGAATGGCGAAAGGTATAAATTTGTATAAATTAAATAGAACAGATCTTATTACATTGTTTTGTCATTATTGTAATAACTATAAACTACTACTATTTCTAAGCTAAAAAAAAGCCTCGTGCATAAATTAATTATCTCAATGGCAGGTTGTATTAAAAGTTGATCAATATATTGGTTCATTAAAATTTAATGGACCAATTATGAACTACTGAAATGTAACTCTTTCACTGGCTATTCACACATTAATATTGTCAGTCCAACTTAATTGTTGTATAAAAATGGAATAGTTGATATTATTTTAAGTAAATATAAGTATTATGTTTAACACATAGCACATGTTTATAGAGTTTCTGTTGAACGAGCTCGTGGTACACCAAGAGGCAGTGATGTTTGGCGTGGATCAGGGAGAGGTGGTGATTTACCACCTCCTCCACCGAGACGACCTCGTCGTGATGCTAGGTATGTATTTATTAATTCAATTAGATGGAAAAAATAGTGAAGTAGTTATGCTTTATAAATCTTTGAATACATGAAGCATCTATACAAATTATAGTGTAGAGGCTGCTAACATAAAAAGGCCACTGCTATAATATTTTCATAATCTATATGTTAATATAACATTTTTTAACGTTGGTTAATTAATATGACTATAATTTTTAGGGATGATAGAAATGATAGGTATGGTCCACCAACAAGAACAAATTATAGATTAATTGTTGAAAATTTGTCAAGTCGTGTTAGCTGGCAGGTAAGAAATCATTTAGATCTTAGTTTGTATTAGGTTTATAATAATTATTTTATTTAGATTTGTTTCCATTTGATGTTTTAAACTAATTTTTTGTTTTGCCATTTATTAATTTTGGAGATTTATCTTGTTTATTTGAATGTCTTCTGAACTTTTTTTCACATATGGTTTGTTTTTGTGAGGTGCTGATAAACGTTCAATCAATAATATTATCTGAGGAAAGAGCCTGCAATTCTATTAAGGTTTAACAATATTGTAATAAATAGCTCTGCTATCTAAAAGAAATCATAAAACAATTTTGCCGTTCACTTTATTGCCCAATTATAACAATAATAATAATTAATTGTGTATTTTATATACTAATATTTATTTTTAGTACCATAAAGTGAATGGCGGTCTAAGTTTGTTTTAAGAAAACAACTTAATTTTAATCGTAATAAAAAAAAAAAAACATATAAAATACAAAAAAAAAAAAATGAAAAAAAAATGTAATATTATTTTTCTAAAGAGCCACCACAATGTGTTGGGTTCGATCGATGTCCATACCAATGACATTAAACGCTTGATCGTTGGCCGATAACATAAGAGTGGCACTATGAGGCACATAGGCCAATACCACAAAAGATCACAGTACTATATCACACATTCCATTCCGGGCCTAGGATGATCGGCCTAACCACAAAAGGTGTTCCCAACCATACAAGCCGATCAGCTGCCCAATTTGGTTAACCCCCCATTCATGTCGCCCCACACATGGTCCGAGACCGAGTCGCTTTTCAATACCATTCCATGTGTTTAAGAGGTATGTATTTAAATAATAACATAAACAATGTTTGGTATTTGTTAGGCTATTAAAATAAATTTTTAAACAATATTATTTTCAAAATATAAAAACAATTAATAACAAGTTAAGGATCTAGAAGATGCAGTAACGAAAAAGCAATTCTGTATCAGTCATCAAAACAACAAGGCCACACGATCATCAAAAGCACTAAAATCAAAATCAACGTTACCCATTATGTGTTAAAACATCTTCAGTTCACTAACAGCAAATGAGCACTTCCCATCACTAATTCATTTTCAAGTGAAGTCTTCCGAAAACAATCCCATTTTAAAATCGATAAATTGTACTTGGCGTAGAATAATTAATTTAGCAATAAAAATTTAATTATAATTTATATATATGTATTTGTATGTATATTTTCCATTGCTTAATATTGTATATTTTCTTATTCTTATTAATTTGTTTGGACATAGGATTTAAAGGACTTCATGCGCCAAGCTGGGGAGGTTACTTATGCTGATGCACATAAACAGCGCAAAAATGAAGGGTAAATATTTGAATAATATTTTAAAATATTGGGTATATATTTATTTTTTTTTTTTTTGTGAAGTGTTGTTGAGTTTGCATCTTATTCGGATCTTAAAACTGCATTGGATAAGTTGGATGATACAGAATTGAATGGGCGTCGCATAAGGCTCTTAGAAGACAGAAGTAGTAGTCGCGGTCGTGGTGGAGGCAGGCGCAGTCGTAGTCCTTCAAGTTCTCGTTCTCGTTCAAGATCCCGGTCTCGTTCACGTCGGCGTGTACGCTCTCGTTCAAGGTGAAATTAAATGCTTAAATTAACTTATTTTTTACATATTTTATGTACAATTATTATTTTTGATTAGAAGTAGATCACGAAGCCATTCCAAGTCAAAGTCTGAGTCTCGCTCGAAATCTCCTTACAAGTATGAGTGCAACTACTTAAATATTTTTTTACTCTTCATTTCAAAATTATTGTACATAAATGTTGTTCCCAATCGCTTTCTGTTATTGAGTTAACAATTCATTTAAACTTAAATTTTAACCTACAACTACCAAGTTTTGTATAAAAATATACTTTTAATAAACGTTTTTTTTTCGTTTTTTTGCATATATTTGAAATGTTGACCTTAAATGAGTTATAATTTATATTATAAGATTTTAAATAATTAACCATATGTTCACAATTTAGATCACCAGCTCATTCCAAATCACGTTCCCGTTCAGGATCTATAGATAAAAAGAGGTCTCAGTCACGCTCACAGTCAATATCTAATAAGCGTATTAAGTAAGTCCTATTACACTAAATTAACACATTGAAAATATGTTTGTTTTCTATTTTATTAAAAATATTGTTTTTGGAAAGGTGTGACTAAAAATTAAATGTTTACCATACCCACAGAACATAATAATTATCTTAAACCTAAAATTTACATAGAAGAATTTCAATGTAATTTGTTATTGATTTACTTGGCTGAATATACTTCAACTGTGTTTTTATTCTAGACGCGATTCACGTTCACCTGATGAAAAATCTCGCTCGCCGTCCAGAGAGAAGAATGGTGATGCCAGTCCACAGTCAGGAGACGATTAGAGATACACATTGAATCCTCTATTATTATAATTTTTTTTATATAACAATTCAATCTTTTTCTATCCAGTTTAACTTAATGTACACTTAATCTAACCATTTGACTAGGTCATTTTTATGTTCAATGCCGTAGAGATAAAGTACCAATTATCGATTTTACAGAACATTTTGTATTTGAGACTTAAGATTACATTTGAAGAAACATTCATGAATGTTGTGTTTGACAAAAAACCATATTCATATATGTAACAAAATGAATATAAAATGTATAATATGGTATTTTTTTTTCTTATAAGTTCTAAAGTAATCACTTATTTTATTTGTATGATGTGTGTATGAAGATTATATACTTATATTTAAGACATAATGTGTTCTATAATGATTAATTAATGGTATTCCCTTCCATTACACTGATAAGATTATGCATAATAATCTTACCTTCTTTCCTACCTGGTCATTAATTTAATACTTTAAGGTGGGGTCAGTTTCAAAACTTGTTTTTAATAAATACGTAGAAGTATAGAACCAGTTATTCAGCTAATAGTGAATAACCAAGGTTCATCTTGGCTGGCAAGTACTATTTACCAAATATATAGTTGTTATTTCATTCAGTTGAACTTATGCATACTTCATTACTTCCGTGTGAATCTTAAAATTTTTAAAACACTTGGGTACAATGAAAGGCAAGTGTTTAAAGTTAACTCAAAATAACTTATTCAATTTTTAAGTACAATATTTTTACTTTTGATTTTAGATATATTTTTTTTTATCGTTTGCTCGGTCTTTGCTGTAGTAGTACTTTCTGCTACTACTAGATCTCAAGTTAATGCTAATGCAAAAGACAAATTACAAATTCAAAGGGTGTCCGATAACAGTGTACCAGATTTTCATGCTTTTAATTGGAGACTATGCAAAGTACTTAAACAGTTTAAAAGTAATTTTCATGATAATCAAATTAATTTTCTTAATCAATAGGCTTTGCATGATGTTGAGAAGAACAATGCAGTTATATCCTCTATAAGTGTTAAGTTGGTGCTGTTGATGCTATATGAAGGAGCTCTAGGAAATACAGCTAAACAGATAGAACAAATTGTTGGAATAAGTGGTCGTAAGCAAAATATAAGAGAACGTTATTCACAAAAATTGCAATCGTTACAAGTAAATTATTGATTTAACATGATAATTATATATTACATATTCAAATAACACAATTTTTTGGTTCTGAATTGAAAGGTTATACTAATATGTGTTATAGTCAGTTGGGTTACACAAATTTTCGAAAAAAAATTTTGTTTGATATTTCTCATATGTATAATTTAACATAATACTACACCACTGTCCATACAATCTAGTACTGTGCGGTGAAGGATGCGAGAACAAGTCTCATTCTTTATTATATTAATTTAGTTTTAAAACATTTTGCCTGCAAGCAGCAACATTTATTCAGCTTACAATATTCTTGTTGAGGGGCCGTCTCAACATCTCGCGCGTATCTGCAGATCTGTTGTCTTAAAAACGCTTGACAACAAATTTACGTTCAACAGTTCTCATTAGACTTCAATTTTAATATTAGAGTGAATTTACTAAAGTTTATGGTAACAACATAGTCTGTGGTTTTAAGATATTTTAATTTTGAAGTGGTTTATAAGCGTATAACATTAAAACTGTAATATGCTCCCTATATTTTATTGCCTGTTAGTTATTACCCCTTAGACTTGATGTACTTTGATTCGCCCCCAATGTCTCGTATCAATCAGCTAAATTAAGTGAGAACTGCTGAAGTTGATTTGTGATGTTATGCACATGTAAAACGGAGAAAATGCTTGCGGCTGGTCTTAGGACTTCTTATCCTCTTAAGAGGACACCCGCAAGTGTTGCCTCCGACTACATGGAAAATTTTCGTTCACTAGGTTCAATGGTATGGTGTTAGTTTTGATATTAGAGTGATTTGACTTATCATCAAACTTTAAGGTAAGAACATTATCCGTATTCTCTCGTTGATTATTTACGAAATTTAATTTTGAAGTGAGTTTTGAGTATGGAAACTGGAAAGTATTAATATATTTAAATGCTCATAATTCACTTAAAAATTAACATATCGTAAAAAAACCAATGAGAGAACATAGATAATGTACTTACCTTAAGTTTGATAATAATACAAATCACTCTAATATCAAAATGAATACCATACTATTGAAACTAGTTAACAAAAATTTGGTATGTCGTACGTACCTACTACCTATGTAACATGGAGACAACACATGCGGGTGTGACGTTTTCTTAAGAGCTGTAATAATATATATTTACCTCTTTATTTGTGAGAAACAGTTAACAGATGGGAGGAAAATGGAACATTTTTTATTTAACAACACTAGCTTAAAATAAAAACCTTATTGGATTAATGATATAATATTACAATTTGCATTATGGGATTTATTAGTACATTTTTGCTAGAGATGTTCATATTATTTTTAAGAGAATGCTTGTTGTCTCCATCTTACTTGTGCGTATAATAACAATTTAACATTCAGCAGTTTTCACTTAATTTAGCTAAACGTACGACATACCAAATATTCATTCACTTTAGTAGTTTCGATTGTGTGTAGTTTGTTTTGTTATTAGTGTAACTTGTTATCAAACTTTTAGGTAAAATATTACCGGTGCGTCTGCTTTTTATTCAATATTTTAATTTTCTAGCGAGATATGAGCATTTTTAATTGCTAAATTTCACATATCCATATGTTGCTTGAAAAAAATAATGTTCATGTTGAAGTGTTGAAGTGTCATAATAGGTCAATAGACTCTAATATAAAATCTTAAAGCACTCAATTAAAACTAGCAAATGAAAAATGCTATCCGTACCTAAGACGGTTAAACCAATTAATTTATTCTGTGCAGATACTGAGACAACGAACGCTTTTGTAGCATCCTCTTAATAACAATTGACTTTAGTCGTCATAAACAAGATTTTTTAAAAATGTATCTTTGTTTTATCTTTAAAATTGTAGTATTTCTAAGAATAGCAAATTACAAGGTTCAGTTGTATCAGGATTTTTGAAGTTAGTGTTCTAAACAATGAAAAAACCTGTTTGAATTATAATATAAACCTGTTCTAAGAGTACATCTTAACCCTGGTTCTAATAATTATTTAAATATCAGATAAATCAATTACCACAATCATTTGTCTAATAAGCGTTATCTACTAGTGGTTCATAACTTTTGTCAGTGGAATAATTATTTTACAAAACATTTTTCTGGTACATTTTTTAAAATAGCACTTATTGAGCATGTATTACTAACTAAATAGTAATGTTTATTAATTGGTCATATTATCAGGACAATCGGGGTAATATTATAATGTATACGTTTAAGACGTTTGAGTTACCTATTGGTAACCAATTATAATAATAATATATCTAGACATTTTTGTTATTTTATTTATATTTTTGGAGAAATATATTATCGAGAACATTAAAATATCTGTTCAAGCAGTTCGGTAGATGCCCAGATTAAAATTTAAATCATCTAAAACAGTGGCGTAAATATTTGTATTATGTATTAGGGACAATTATAGTTTATGCGATAAGAAATGTATATAATTAGTTGCAATTTTTAATCTATGGTCTTCAAATATCCTTGAGCCTAGATACTAAGATCATTCAATATTTTTATAATTTTCAACAATTTAATCTTAAAAAATTATTTCTTAAATTTTGTACATCTATTTACAAAATATTTCGCAAATAGTTGAGTTTAGACATTTTGGTATGGTTTGAAAATATTTTTTGTATGAAATAAAACTATAATACCTTTTAAGTATATAATCGTATATGAAGGCTCGAAGCTTAAATTTATATGTATATGCTATTTCAAAAATATTCTCGTTGTTTAATATGCAATTTTATTCTATTGGATTTTTCGGCTGATAAAATTTTACTTTGTTTTTTACCCCATTTAATTAAACCTCCTTGGAATTGGAGAATTTCATAAACTACAGATAGTACGCAAATAGAGGGTAGGTACCTAAATCAGCTCTTAGAACTATAGAGGCCAGAGGGGCCATTTATCAAATCTCCTCGGAATGTCAAAATAATTTTAATTTTAATATCTTGAAAAATAGCAGTGAAATTGAAACATATAAATATTATAAAGCATATCTATTATATAGAAAATCTGGACCACTAGGTGAACTGTGCCTTGCAGTGCAAATATTCGCGGGAAGTTTTTTGAGAACTGATTTGAGAAGGTATTTTTATATTCATGGTCATATTATAGTCATGACTCATGGTATAAACCAATTAATTATTATGTACCAGTAAAAATTATTATTTATTGTTCTATAGCGTAGGTATCATTTAATGATTGCTTTAAATTTGAGATAAAACTATCGAACTCATTAATCATTATTGTACGATCATTGATTAAGTACTTCTATTCCGATTCTACTATTATTCAGGCTTTAGATCCACTGCAATTGAACAATACATTATAGGACTACAAAATACAAACGTCTAAGACATATTTTTCAATAAAGTGTGCGAAATATAGAAACCAAGCACTAGGTAAACACTTCAATTTCGATCATGTTTATGCAAAAGTTTTACATTGCTATAATTGAAAAATGATTTTGAACAGTACCTACTGGGCTGAATAATGTTTTCTTTAATTTTCAACGGCTATCTGTGTTTTATTTATTATTTAATGTAAAGAGATAAACTATTGAAAATATTAAATAATAATTTATTTACAAAGTACCATATAATTTCGATTTACGATATGATATGATATGCATTATATGTTATTTACATCTGAATTGCAGTGCTTAGAAGGAACTCGTTCTAATTATTTCGTTCAATTTTCAGGAACGTTTTGGAAACGTAGTTCCCTTTTCTTCGTATATGTAGAAAAATATTGGAATTTTGTTAATGTATTCTCAAAAATATAAGGAGTTTAAATAATTTTAGGGCAAACGTTTTTATAATTTTTTTAGAAATTTAGACAAAATTTTAATGTGCTGCTTATTTAATTAAACATATACAGTGTGTTTCTCTTTAAAGGTAATACTAAATAATTCTGTCCAGTGACATCAGATTGATATGCGGTTTTTGGGAGGAGATAGGGAATACATAAATATTAAATTCACATTTCTTGATGATTTTTACATTTTTAGATCTTTCCATGTTTCAATTTGATCCTTTTTACCATAACTCTTAAATCAAAATTGACTAAATGACAACGAGTTAAAGTTTCGATTAAAATTATTGAATTTTTCGA